TTCCTTGGTTGTTCAAATCTACTGATGAGCCCAAAGGTTTCCTGCATCTCTTCACTGTGTAATGAAACTTCTAGCATTTCCTTTTGGTTATTTCTTATAGTTTCCATCTCTCAACTAAAATGACCCACCTGATCTTTAATACTTTCCACTTTTCTGTTCATACCTTTAACATATTAATTACAGTCATTTTCAATTCCCTTATCAGATAACAGCATTTATGTTAATCGAAGTATAGTTCTGATAATTGTTCTTTCTCTTAGGAATTTGCCTGTTGCATGCCTTGTAATTTTTTGTCGAAAGCTGGAAATGTACAGGACAGCAGAAACTAAGGTAAATAATTTTTGTAACTAGAAATGGGCACCTTTTCTTTGCTAGGTCTTTAGTGCAGGGTGTAAATCTGTTTAGGAGTTGGACTGGGATTACGATTGGCTGTTATGATACCCTCAGTGTATCACAAGCTTCAAATACCTGCATGACAGCTTGTGGCTCCCATGGCGGATGGTTTACTAAAGCAAGCTCTGATTCTTTGTGCTATGCCTCTTGGCGTAATCCTGTTCTGCTCCTAGTAGCATTCTGCAGTTACTTGTTATTCAAAGCTTCTTATCTCAGTGGCAGGGGATTGGGGGTACAGTCTCCGTTGTTCTATGATTAACATTCAGTCTTATGCATACTCTAAGTACCTGGATCTCAGAGGTGTGACCCCCTGGCTGCAGTCTGGGGCTCAGGGCCTCTTCCCCAGGAGAATATTCTTTCCCTCTTCTTTTGTCTTCCCCCAACTCAATGAATGTGCACTAACAGGGCCAGCAGAGAAGCCCTTCCCCTAACAGATCAAGGCTTTTGTTCCATAGAAGAGACAGAGGGGAAGAATCAAAGCCATTTTGCCCCTCTTGAAAGCTTTGCTGCTGTTTCCCTCCTCTATGTCAGCACCACAACAGATACTCTCCAGGGCGGTTTCCAATCTTTTCTAGGAGTACCTAGTGAGGTCTGTGGATAGAGAGATTGAAAGAAGGTACACTGAGCCTTCATCACTTTGTCAGCTATTCTAGATGAAATCTTGCCAGTGGACAGTTGTGTCTAAAGGTGAATGTGAATTCATGTCTACTCTTTTTCTCCTTAATTTTAGGCCAGTGGTTTTTTTCTGTGGCCTCAGCTCTTCAATAGATTTCAAAAAACAAGTCATGAATTTGAAGTCTGTGCAGTTCTTTTTTGTTTTAACAGTGGCAGCAAAGCTTCCTCTTGTCTCAGAGCCAAAAGCAGTGGTGATATTATTCCTAAACTATTTCAGGGTAGTAAAAGAGGTGTTACAAATTACTTGGAATAAAAAGGAGGTTTTTGTGGGGTTTGATCCAGTTGAGAAGCCCTGACTTAAAGGATCTCTTTCAAAACAACTCCTCTGTAATTAGTTCTAAATATTACAGTCAACATTTAGGCCTAAACTATTAGTAGCAACCAAATTTTTGCTGCAGTTTATCTGCATAGCCTTGCTTGTACTGGCATAACCTGGATATACTGCAGGCTTGGTTCCAGACCAACGCAATTAAGCAAGTATCACAATGAAGTGAGTAGTAATCTTGCTGGTGAAGAATCCTGCCTTCTATTTGTTAAAAAAACCCGCGAGGTCTATGAAGTGCAATATAGAGAAGCGCGGTAAAACAAGGTATGTATGAACCTAACTAATTTTAAGTACCTCAATCAGGGAAGCAGGTGAAGGTTATGTGTAATGAGAGCCTCAAATTCACCCATGTAAATAGAACTGGTTGAGGAATGGAGCCCAATTACTTAAAGCAGATCCTTTTTATTTGTACAATTTAGTATCTATTGAGAACCAGACTACACTATCAACCTTTTTACAAATTTAATGAAGGCAGTATTGTTAGTCACCTAGGCAACCAGCCTCTATTTATTTGTGGATAACATTAAATTCTTACATAACTCATGCTTTCCACAATTCCACAACTTTTTCACCAATGACGTGAACAAATTTTTGGGACTATTTACTTACTACTGACACTTAAGAAAAAGGAATATCCATTGCCTTCCACTGGAATACAAATGGCGATACTTTCCATATACTGGACTATAAAGATTCTTTACATTTCTCTTAATAACTTTCTGACTCCTCTTTTCCTCCCTTAATATGTGCTACTTCCTATTTCCAAACTAGGAATATAATGCAATATTATCTAAACAAGGTCTTAATGTCCCATTGTGACATTAACAGCAAAACACAAGTTTGAGACGTAGCCTCTAAAACATTGCTTCACAGTACATTTAAAATGTTAAAAAGGTTTTCTGTTATATGATAAATTAAGTCGAACAATAAAGCACTTTCCAGAAACCAAATATTAGTGAAATCAAGTCTTTTTAGGATGCCACATTTATGACAAGTAATTTTCTAAATTTCCTTCTTTTTTTTCAGGCAAGTCCTGTTTCATATTCCATAGACTTACAGGATACTGGTAATATCCTGCAAAACCTGACCGCTGTGAGCAATTTCCTCAAACTCTGCAGACAGTACTTTCAAACCTGAAAATCTATCAGAGCCATAAAGTAAGAAAGAAAATACTCAGTAAGCAAGACAATCACTGGGGCAGGTCCTGAAGAAATATTCTGAAACTTTACTCCCCCCCCCCC